TTCAAAACAGACGAGAGGATTTTCAAGGATGACACAGCTCTCTCCAGGTTTCAAGGTTTATGTAATGCAGTGGTTTTCAAACTTTTATTCTGGCAACCCAGTTGAAGAAAATTGTTGATGCCCGTGACCCAACGGAGCTGGGGATGAGGGATTTGGGGTGCAGGAAGGGGCTCTGGGTTTGAGGGGGAGGCTCAGAGCTGGGGCAGGGGATTGGGGCACAGGGTTGGGGCGCAGGCTTACTTCCGGCGGCTCCCGGTCAGGGTGCAGCGGAGGTGCTAAGGCAGGCTTCCTGCCTGTCCTGACACTGTGGATCATGCTGCACCCCGGAAGCGGCCAGCAGCAGGTCCAGCTCCTAGGTGGAAGCGCGCAAGCGGCTCCGTGCAACTCTCGCCCGCGGGCACTGCCCCCACCCCATATCCCATTGGCTGGGAACCGACCAATGGGAGTATTGAGACAGTGGCAGTGTGCTGAGCCCTGTTCCTCCCCCTCATCCCCCCCAACCCGCCTAGGAACTGGACTTTCTGCTGGCCGCTTCCAGGGCGCAGCACGGTGTTGGAACAGATAGGAACTAGCTCCCTTAGCCAGGCAGCACCGCCGACAGGACTTTTAACAGCCCGGTGGGCGGTGCTGACCAGAGCCGCTGCGATGCAGTGCCTTACATTCCGCAACCCAGTACTGGGTCGCGACCCGCAGTTTGAAAACCACTGATGTATGGAATGCTAAACTGTATTATACTGTTCACCCACTAGGTGGCGATGTATGTAAAATACCTTATTTAAGCTCACCTCAGCCATACCTGGGCAGCGCATTAATGATGAACACATCTGGTGTGTATCTTGCTCAGAACCAAGCTCTGTAGCCAGTCCATATCTGGTACAGGGCCATGACAGTTTATTAGGAGTAGATGGAGTTACACAGGCAGGCTGTAGCTACTGACTGACTGGATGAGATTTTACTCTCAGACTATTTTGCCTTCTCACTGACTCTGACCTTTATTCTTAGGGAGTTGTATCTGCCGGTAGCCTCCAAAAGTTCATTACTGACACAATGGCTTAGTGTTCAATTCCCCGCTCTCATCACAAGACAGAACTGCCAACCTGAAGATACATATTTTCTATATCAGAAAAGAGCCACCTTCCCCTTCTCTGAGGCGTCTAGGTCGGCACGTACCTTGTCAAACAGTGCGATGTAAAGCGAAAACCCAAATCGGTCCTTCAGGCTGATCTTGTCAGCTAAGGAATTACAGAGCTCTTTAGCGGTCGTTGCAGAGTCAGTTAGCAGCGTCTTCGTTGTCCCATCCATAAACGTAACAGGCAGCATGATAGGTTTCTTGGACTTGGTCGCCTAGGCGATTAGGGTCAAACTTTTTAAAGGCATACGAACTTGAATTATTTGCCCATTTACAAGTTATCTCCCAACAATCATAGCGCCTTTTCTGGATCCTTTGCACTAGTACCTATGGCTACATCTGTAATACGGCTGCTAGATACTTCTCCACTGCATGATGTAGGGTCACAACGTGAGTATTGGGGAATAGCTGCAACTCCCGATTTTTTAAATTAATACAGTTAATTGTCAATGGTAATTTTTGATTCTCTTCAATGGACAATGGATTGAATCCCGGAGGCATGTGTAACATTTAAATCTGTGTAGAGACTTGGATAATACCCTCTGCCTCAAACTACATGGAACGCAGTTCTGTACCACCTTCAAAATACAGGAAGATGGAGAAGAGTGCAGGCAAGAGGAACAATAACAAGTGGTTTGAAGATAATGTGACTCGGTCATATGTTCTCCACAAGGAAGAAATAGTTTCTGCTTCTGAACTGCTAATCTTCAAAATAAGAGAGGCAACATCCTACTAAGGGACTGCGAGAAAATGTTTAAGTCTCTAAATGGAATGGCATTCACTATTAGAGCTGGAAAGAAACCGTGTTTCATCCCCCACAAAACACTGGGAAGAAAAACACTTCCACTGAATTTGTCAGGTTTTGGTTGAAAAAAATGAAAACCTGAAAACCAACCTTTTTGGTTTACGACAACTAAAAACTGAAAATATTGTTTTTAGGACAGAAGAAAATTTTCCTACAAAAATCTGAAAAATTCAGACAGAAATGGACATTTTCTAAAGCAAATTTCTGTTCAGTCAAAAGTCACTTTCAACAAAATCTTTTTGAGACACGGCCTATTTGCTCTAGAGGATTTGTCTGAACATACCTGTAATTCTAACCAGCTGGGTGGCTGGGTCCTAGTCCCATTTGCAAATGTCCTCCTCAATCTCTCTTCACAATAGGGAGCGTAACCAGGGGGACCTCCATTGATGAAGTTCCTTAAATACTGTTGGCAAGAGAGAATGTATCAGTTAGACGACTGACGGCTGCTGTTGGCTTGAACACAGGTCCATGGCTCCATTCTAAAGACTGTCCACCCAAAATGTTATTGCAGCATTGGCCAGAAGTGGGGATTAAATCAAATAGACCTGTAGGTAACGAGCAGTGGGGAGACAAACACAGAATTTAACCAAATGCGCACACCAAATCAATTCCCTGCCATTGCAGGGGCCGTGCACATTGGTGTGCCTCGGTCCCACCTATTATCTGAATGCGGCACACAATAGTTTGTTCTCCTGAGGGCTGTAACACTTTAGTCTAATCCAAGTTAACGGGCTTGCTGCAGGGGTAACTGGGTGGAGTTTAGTAGCCTGTGACATGCAAGTCAGACTAGATGATCTGGTGTAATTTCCAGCTCAAGAAGACAAACCCGCACTAGCTCCGATTAAGCTAGCATGCTAAAAATAGAAGTATCGCTGCTGCACTGTGAGATAGCCACATGCCAGATCACAGCTGAGATGCTACGCGTGAACATGGGCAGCTAGCCTGTCCTGCTGCTCACACTGTCAGGGCTACACTTCTGTTTTTAGCATGCTCGCTTGATCAGAACTAGCGTGGGTAGGTCTCCTCGAGCTGGGAATCATACCTCCCACTCTAGTGTAGATGCGCCCTATGACACACAGAGAATACTTAGATACCTTATTAATACATTAGATTGGTATTTATTTGCTTAGATTTTTAAAAATATACATTTTAAGGAGGGCCTATCTAGGACTCTATGTACTTGACCCATGTATTAAAAATGCAATCACATTACGGCAGAAAAAAATTAAACCAAGCAGCCTCCCCCAAATGACAGACCGAAAATACTCAATAAATAACTTAGACAGACAGACAGCTCTATAAATCATAACTGGGAGGCTCTATAAATCACTTTGCTAGATCTATAAATCATAACTTAGATGCTCTATAAATAACTTAGATAGACAGCTAGGCAGACAGATGGATAAGATGAATAGCAGCCACTCCATATGGTTATAGTTGCAACAGAGTTTGCATTGTGAACCTGATTTCGGCATCACCTCTGAAATCCACACCCACAAAACTAACAGCTTTGGCATTGGTAGGTAAGGTCTGGGGCTGATGCAGAATTTTTCTACTAACTCTGAAATAAATCAGAGTAAGTGCTCCCGATTAATGTACCTTCAAACAGAAGTATTCACCAAAAAAATCTACACATATTTTTGCCATCATATAGTACAAAAGGAGACAGAAGGAGAGAGAAAATATAGTTCATATCAACTCCGATGAGTTCTGCCAGCAGTACACAGGGCCAGCATTTAACAGCTAT